GATATTCATTTTCCACCTTTGGTGAATATATACAGAGTGTCATTTTCAACCTCGATTCTGCCTGTTGATAGCATTATCCAGAAATATCGATGATTCCATAGCTGCTGGTGAGCAGTGTTATCATTGGAGATGATCCCACTTGGTCCATGACTCCATGAGTGTATCATTTGTATCTTTCTGACAGTTGCGAATTTTTGAATCCTACCTCAATTATTTTTACAGAAGATACGGGGGTGTAACCATAAGAAATGTGACACACTGAATATATTGTTGCGAATATATCTGAAATTGTGGAAGGAAAAGGTAGGGTTATATATATATTTGTAATGAGAATGCCTGGGACTATTCAACTGTGCCAAAATATACGGGGTGTTCCATTAGAAAAAACATAATTGGCTGCCGTATCTTTTCAACGTCACCCTGTATAAAATTCCTAATGATGCCAATGGATTCCACGCATCATACTGTATAAATATACGTTTGAAATTTTTCGATACCTCTCACCGTAAAGTAGTCAGAAAATAAAATCGAAATCGGCAAATTTTCAATTTCTCCCTGTATCTCTAAAACGAATGAAGATATCGAAATTTTGATTGTGCCATTCGAGGTTTCTCCAAAATCGAACCCGGAACATGTATATCGGTTTTTCGATAACTCCTCTAGTTATTGAGATAGACGGCGAAAACGCCCAATTTTGCCCACCCTGTACATGGATTTTGAAGGCGGCAAACGAATCTAATTATCGAATTTGATAGGAAGGTGTAAAACTCATAGTTTGTCAGGCCGTCTAAGGGGGTAGAAAAGGGGTTAAAAAACAAAAAAATCATTTTCTCCGTTAATACTCGTTGAACATGATTTTCTAAGGCGGCGAACGAATCTACTAATCGAGTTTGATAGGAATTAACTCATAGTTTGTCTGGCCGTCTAAGAGGGAAGAAATGGGGTTGAAAAACAAAAGAAAACATTATCTCCGTTAATACTCATTGTACTCGGATTTTGAAGGCAACAAACGATTTTACTGATTGTATTTGATTGGCAGGTGTTGAACTGATAGTTTTTCAGGCTGTCTAGGGTTTGTAAAACAAAAAAATCATTATCTCCGTTAATACTCGTTGCACATGGATTTAGAAGGCGGCAAACGTTTCTAATGATTCTATAGGTGTTCAAGTCAACTCATAGTTTGTCAGGCTGTCTAAGGGGGTACAAAAAGGGTTGAAAAACAAAGAGAAACATTATCTCCGTTAATACTCGTTGTACATGGATTTTGAAGGCGGCAAACGATTCTACTTATCGAATTTGGTAGGAAGGTATTGAACTCATATAGTTTGTCAGGATATCTAAGGGTGAAGAAAAGGGGTTGAAACACAAAAAAAATCATTATCTCCGTTAATACTCGTTGTACATGGATTTTGAAGGCAACAAACGATTCTACTGATTGTATTTGATAGGTGGGTGTTGAACTCATGCATAGTTTGTCAGGCCGTCTAAGGGGGTACAAAAGGGGTTGAAAAACAAAAAAAAATATTATCTACGTTAAAACTCGTTGTACAAAGATTTTGAAGGCGGCAAACGATTCGACTGATTGTATTGGATAGGAAGGTGTTGAACTCATAGTTTGTCAGGCCGTCTCAGGGGGTGAAAAAGGGGTTGAAAAACAAAAAAAAAACATCATTATCTCCGTTAATACTCGTTGTACATGGATTTTGAAGACAGCAAACGATTCTACTGGTTGTATTTGAAAGGGAGGTGTTCAACTCATAGTTTGTCAGGCCGTCTAAGGGGGTAGAAATGGGGTTGAAAATAAAAAAAAATCATTATCTCATTGCCTATGGATAAGGTGGCTATTATAGCCACCTTATCACTAAATAGGAAAAACTCGCTATAAAAATCATATTTCTTGAATTTTCTTTCTCTAAATGTGTCATTGAAGTACATCATGTCCAATGACAAAATGAAAAGAGCAAGTACCTGTAATGCATCCGACACAAGGAGGAAAAGAAGACAAAATTTCGAACTTTTTCTTGAAATATCTCGATAAATAGTGGTTTGTTCACATTTTCATTATCAAATTCGGGTTTTTCAGACAAAAATACGTGAGTACCAAAACAAATTTTCGAAAAAAACCCATCGCATGAGAAAAATTACCGAAATTTTGATATTATAATAATATGGATACATTTTCAATGTGTCACCATTTTTTAGAGTTCTATTTTTTGAGTTTCATAATTAATCAATAGATTTATTTAGGTGAGAAGTGTTGCAAAAATCAATTTAGGTCAGTGAAGTTAATGAATGCCAATAATTCTACAACAGTCCCAGGACTGTTCAGAACAATATGCAATATTCTATTTGAATCTAATGGAGTTCTTTCAGCAAAATCAATCTATTCAGTTCAACAAATGAATTGCTATGGTGCCTATTTAATGCAGATATCAGCTGTGGTTATGTAATTTTTTGAAAACTCTCAATGTAAGTAAAACAAGTCTGACGAAATAGAAATGTTTTCATTGTTTTCCCCTATGTAATCGTCACATCGTGACCTTGACCTTGTAATTTGCCAATTATTGTCATTTGTCAGTTACGATATGTACGCGCGAGAATTCAAAGAGCCACCGATGGAAAAAGTAGAGCTAGACGCTTGTTTCGGATGCTGGTTTCGTTCGGGTGTTCTCGTTCCTGATCATCACTGCAATGTTCACAAATAGGTGAAAAAAAAAAAAAAAAATGGAAAGAAAACAGAATGATGCAAAGACATTGATATAATATGATATATAAGGCCACGGATATACTGTCACGTGGATACAATAGCTGTGTCAAGTCATTCGTCAGACCACAGTGGTGATACTAGAATGGTAATTGGTTGACTCAAGTCCCATAAAAAGTAAACGTAATAACTTTGTGGGCAGAGGTTGTAAACGTGACCGTTGACCGATATTCTCGAACAGATGGTTGGCCAGACTGATGGTCAGTCTTCACAGTGGACGTATGTACTAATACCACGAACCCTTCGGGAGTACGAATACGAAGGCGTAGAGAGGCCACCAACTTATTTTTATTCCAATTCCGAGTTGCAACTCGGAATTCCGACTTGTAACTCAGAATTCCGAGTTGTAACTCGGAATTCCGACTTGTAACTCAGAATTCCGAGTTGTAACTCGGAATTCCGACTTGTAACACGGAATTCCGACTTACAACACAGAATTCCGAGTTGCAAGTCGGAATTCCGACTTACAACACAGAATTCCGAGTTGTAACTCGGAATTCCGACTTGTAACTCGGAATTCCGACTTGCAACTCAGAATTCCGAGTTGTAACTCGGAATTGTCTCGTGTGTACCACGTGTGTACTGTGTTGACTTACAAACAACATATTTTCAATGCAAACATAATATAAAAAGATAAATATCATTCATCTTGGGTCCCATAGCAGCATATGAGTCATCAATCTCTAGGCCATTCAAAATGCAAGACTGATGTGGATCGAAAATTGATAGCAATCTTGCATCAGAACCAAGAGACCTGGTATGTTCTCAAGAAAACATCTAATTATCTACCTACTTTACTTCAATCATAAATTCTTGCTTCCTTGCTAAACTGGGTATCTAGGTATGTTCATTAAATTATGTAACATTTCATATTTTATAGTGTAATGAAGAAAGTGTCCTGGGAAATGAAGACAGAAGAGATAATTGGTGAAAATCAAGGTGAACATCTGATCAATTATTGTTGTTATTCTACAATTACAGTTTCATCCAACTCCAAATAAGTTGCTGTTGAATATTTTGTATTATACTACTTATACATAGTTTGTTGTGATTTATTGATATCTATTATAAAAAAAGATGAATATAGTGAGTAAGTATATCAAAATTGTACCTATTTAATAAATGAAAAATACCTGCATTATATATTATTTCACAGAAGGAAATATTAAGGTAATATATATTACAAAAGATCTACATGTCATGGAAAGATGTTCATAGAACATTTATTTTATATTCAGTGATCTGATTGAAACAAATATAAACAATGATCAAATGATAATTATATAAATACATATTTTTTATGGAACTAATCAAATACAAAACTACATACAGAATTCACAAAATGCTGAGACTGGTGTACCTAAAATACCTACAAATTCGAAAAGGAACCATATGATTTCACATTCATCATTGTCACAATTACTTAATCATATCATATAGTAGTTCTAGGTTCCATCATCAGCACTTTAACATTTGCAAAAATAGTCCATTTTTGTAAAAACTTCACTTCTGCTGAAATGAAAGTTCAGGCTCAGGCATCACAACTTCAGCGGGATTCTGAGTTACAACTCGGAATTCCGAGTTACAACTCGGAATTCTGAGTTGCAAGTTGAAATTCCGAGTTACAACTCGGAATTCTGTGTTGTAAGTCGGAATTCCGTGTTACAAGTCGGAATTCCGAGTTACAACTCGGAATTCCGAGTTACAACTCGGAATTCTGAGTTACAAGTCGGAATTCCGAGTTGCAACTCGGAATTGGAATAAAAATAAGTTGGTGGCCTCTCTACGCCTTCGTAAATTACTGATGCGCTCTTGTTTCAGAAATTTCACTCGACCTCTCGAGAACAGTGAGAGCAATGGTTCCGTGCGGGTCGAGTGATTTTTCTGAAATTTTCAATATGTAATAATGGCCGAATACGCACACCATATCTTACTCCCATCATTTACTGGATACTGTTTTTTTTTTTAGGTACTAAATTTATTTATACAGCAGCAACATTCCCCCACCAAGATGTTTATTTGCCCTATCTATAGACGCGTGTCTGTGGAGCAAATTGATGTGTTCATTCCAGTGTTTTCTAATAATTCAGCAGATGTTGTATGATCTAAGGATGTGAGATGTGACAGACAGTTCTTTTGACCGATGTTGGTTGACGAATGACATTGACGTGTTAATGCGCAGTTCAATGCTCAGCGCATGTAGTCCGTTAACGTTTTAATTTCAAAATCAAAAATTGTGTGGTGCAGTGTGCAGTAGGAGTAGGCTGTTGTCCAATTATTTATTTTGTGACATATCAAGGAGCTGAATAATTATTTTCATATTATATATAAATTTTATTATACCGTTTTAAACATATTACAACAGACAGGTGAGTACTAAAGATGATATGAAATTGATGCATACTATAAGGTATCGTACGGTAGGCATATTTACGTTTCCTATACAGCCAGCGCGATTGGTCGCTCTCACGAGATAGGGAATGAAGTGCATCCTGGAGCACTCCGTTTCCTAGCTGATATGCGCGACCAACGATAAACGACCATCGGCTGCTCTGTGGTGCATGGGTCAGGATTATTTACAGATTTTGTTTTCCACACTAATTTTCAGTCAGAAGAAGACACAATTTGACAATGAAACGGAAGTTTATTCATGCGGAATATTCAACTATACAAAAAATATAAACAAAATATATCGTCGAACCATTAGAAATGCTTTTCAGTTTCAGATTACTTTGTTTTTCTTACTGGTTATAAAGATCATGAAAGTAATCGAAAATAATTATTAGTGCGCCCTACCATGACTTACAGCGTTCGTGGTATTTTGTAGGATGTTTACTATTAATGAACGCTTTTTGCGAGGCCTCTTTTTCGAACTTATTCCGCTGCTAGATAGCCAACCCGCTTGTATAGCTTTGGCACCTCTGTAAGCAGATGTTCTTCTAGCAATAGAGGTAGGTTGAACATTAATGCTGTGAGACTTTTTCTGACTAGTAAACGTGAAACATAGAGCATAGAACGAAGCTTCGCTGTCCATTTTCTGCCTATTGAACTTCGTCACAATAGGCAATAATGAGATTCCACGAAGCTGCTAATCTTTTTCAAGTTGTCCTTGAATTCTTTGAGTTTGACTGATCCATCAGTTTTAGTTTCGTTCACTTCAACCGAAAAATTATTTTCTTCATCAGGAGTCGTCTCATTCCATCTTCCGTTTCCAACATCATGGGTTCGCCAAAATCTACAGTAATTTCGTTATCTTTTTCTTTATCCATCTTTGAAGAAGTTGGCACTTTACTGATAGTATTTTCAAGTGCTGACGTAGCAAGTTCTATTTTGTCTTGTAAAAAAATATTACAAACGTTGTGCATCTGCACACCAGTATTATATACAGTGCACAGATGCTTGCAAAATTTCCCTCCTGCCCCTTCTGGACAGTCACACACTTCCAACTTTGTATTGACTTGGTACAAAAATGTCTCATCTGCAGCTGCAGTAACTGCTGTAAACTGATCTTCAGACACTTTCACAACACAAAGATCAACCGATTTTTTGCAAAATTTCGTAAAATAAATTAACAATTTGTTATCCCTGGAGCTAGCATAACGCAACAATTTTTTTTTGTAGAAGTCCTCCAGTGATAAAGAGAAGAATTCTACTAATGATACTGTGTTGAAAGCCTTACATCTTTGTAGTACCGAATCCTTAGAAACTCTTATTGATACTTCTACTAAATTGTTCGTATTATGGCCCCTATTGCATAGTTTATTTCGAAAACAATGGCACCAATCCTGTCTTCTCTGCCACATTTTGTCGAAATATTCGATAAAATTCATATATTTACTGGCGATTTCACTCTCGCATAGAGCTTGCATGAACAATTCGCAATCAATTTCTTCCTTGGCGGGAACGCCGATGGTCGTTGGTCGCGCATATCAGCTAGGAAACGGAGTGCTCCAGGATGCACTCCATTCCCTATCTCGTGAGAGCGACCAATCGCTCTGGCTGTATAGGAAACGTAAATATGCGTACGGTAGACCAACGGTCAATGGCCATTTAAATTATTTAAATGGCGGATTGATTTTGCTGTTTCTCTGTTACATCAGAATGGAAAGTATTATTTATTATTCGAATATGTTTGCTATGGGATAGAATGATGCAGAAGGTAGGTAATAGAATCATTGAAAAATACTTTTCAGAACAGAGTTTATATCCCATTAAAAATTTAATAATTATTATTCCATGTCAAGGATGAAAATTTTTTGTTTACATTCTTGCAATGATTAAATTAGGCATGTCAATTGATAATTCTTATTATTTGTGTTCTTTTATCTGATTCACATGTGGTGAATGTAGTTTCTGCAATCAATTTTTTGTGAAATGAGTAGGTTTTCTTCTACTTTTAATATGATTTATTTCCAGATGACATGATTAAGGTGAGGAATAAGTAGGTATTCGGATAATTGTATCAATAATTAAAGTGAATACAATTAGTTATGCTCATTTGATGTTGATTGAAATAATGTAAAGTGAAATTTTTATTTTGAAAACCATCAAATATCTCAATACTTTATACCAATACTTGCCATGATTTAATCTTTTTAAGTACACTTCACAGTAAACCCAAATATGTGAATAACTCCATAAGCAAATTCAAAAGTTTCCCAAAAAATGTGCATGCAATATTTGTGTGGATTGCTCATATTGAGAGTATAGAGAGATTAGTTGAAAGTTTTATCAGTTTACTCCCAGTTCATTACTATTCCATGTAGTAAATGCCAAGCAGCAAGTTTAGTTACATTCAGTCAGTTTAAATCATATAACAATATTGATTCATGGAAAAGGTAAGTTATTTTCATCAAGGGCAAAATGTTCAAGAAGAATCATGTGTGAATTAAAAATAGACAAATTCTGTGAATAACTGTGACAACATGTAAAATATCTCATTTGCCAGTTGCAAATAAATAATGTTGAGTGCCACTTATCAATGTTACAATAAACCTAAATATTGACATCAATAAACAGATAATAGAGTTGAGAATTGAATATTCCGATTTTGTTGCCAAATTTGCCTATCTCAGTGGTCATGATTCTTTCATCCCTCTTTTCAACATTGAAATATGCTACTCATAGCAGGTGTAAATTCTTTGGGGATATAGAAACAATCACAAACTGCCTTTGAAATGGGCCTATCCTAGCTTGAAACAAACCCATGAAACATTTTCATCCTTGTTCGCCCTTGAGTTTGCCATGTAAGAACTGTGTGGAGAACTGTATCAGATCAATGGAGTGAAATATTCCCACCTACATTGCTGACTTACCAGAGTAAGCTTGACATAAAATTCCTGTATCTGATGTACGGTCGCAAGGTAGTACATACCCAATCTGGCAAATTTCAAAGGCATATATGAGTAAACTCTGCTCCACAGAGTATCATATTTGAACACACCCTTAGGAAAAGGTACTATATTTTGAATTCACTGGGTCCTTGAAATCCATAATAAATGTTTTCCACAAAATTCTTAATAACATAACATATTTCCATAACACAGTATCTTCTTCAGGTAAAATACTGGTATAGTAAACTAAACTTACATTGACTGGCCCAACTTTTATACAGGGTGTTTCATAATTGAATGCTGATCCTAAAGGGCGATAATCCTTGGGTGATTTTAAGAAAAATCCTTCATGTGAACATAGGTCCCTAACAGCTTCGTTTCTGAGATACAGGATGTTGAAATTTAACAAAAAAATCAGTTATTCCCCAATATCTCTGAAACCGCTCTGGCTTTTTTCTTCATTACAAAAACTTAAAAAATAAATACCATAAAATTATAAAAATATTGCTTGGATCTTTTTGTTACCACAATTGTGAAATTATGACTGAGAGTAAAAATTGAATAGGGACAAGCATATGAATGCATTTTATTATCTAACTCAAAAACCGTTCGCCGGACGAAAAAAAGACAAGAGACCATTTTTATGAGAAGATAGAAAATAATCACAAAAATAATATTTATTTGAAAAAAAGACAGTGGCGTATCATTATTTTGATGAAAAATATGACAGGGTATGTTAACAGGGACGTCACTGATGGACATTAAGAAATCCTTTATTATGGAAAAAATGTTTTTCTATTCATACTTGGAATGTTCCAAAATTGAAGAAAAAAGCCTGAACGGTTTCAGAGATATTGGGGAATAACTGATTTTTTTTGTTAAATTTCAACATCCTGTATCTCAGAAACAAAGCTGTTACGGACCTATGTTCACATAAAGAATTTGTCTTAAAATCATCCAAGGATTATCGCCCTAAAGGGCAGCATTCAATTATGAAACACCCTGTATACTACTTTCCCAAGATACCTGTGGAAACATGATAAACCTTCATTATTGGAATCAGAAGAAAATATTTCACTCAATGATCAAGTAAACCTCAATAATTCACCACTGTCGATTTTGTTTTCTTAGTAGGTAATTTTTGTAAGCAACCTTTGACATAATCCAGTACATCATATTCCAATGTAGATATTGTGCCCCCTTTCTGAAAATATAGGTTTATCCTACCTTTCCACAGGTATCTTGTGGTCCTTTAGGTTGGAAAAGTAGGATATAAGATTCGGGTGCATGACAAATTCATATTCATCATATAGGGCGTGGAAATAAAAATTCTGAATTGAGAAAACCCAATCAGGAATCTGAGATTAGAGGTCTATAAAAGATAAGTTTCCATCGTTCAAGTTTGAACCCCTGATATATTATGAATATGGAAAAATGGATATATATACAGGGTGGGGCATCATATACAACACCCTCTTTATGTGGAGAACTACAGAATATTTCTGAATTCATTTCAACTGGCTGGATAGAGAATTTATTCATGTACATCCTATATTTTTTGTTTTTTTCGGATTTGGCAGCACAAATGGAGGTGATTTTCTTCAATGTTTCCTATACCTACCATTGTTCGTTTTCGAAATATTTGAAGAATTGGTGAATTGTATAGTACATGAAGATAATTTTTATTTGACTCTATAAATAATTTTGAACCTTTGTGATAGCTTTGATTGTTTGGAGAAATATTAGAAATATACCTCCATTCGTATTTCAATGTCAAAATTCGTACAGGGTGATAACAAAATTATGGTTGGAAACTCACAATCTATGGAGTTGAAAGACTTTGTTATTTCAAATAGCACACCCTGTAGTTATTTACATATTCTGACGTAGAATTTGATTTCCTTTCGACCTGTATCATGGTTCCCGATAGCTAAACCCAATACATTTCTAGAAATTGGCGATTTTATTCATAACAGCAGACATCAGTTAACTTTATACCTATTATTACTTTCTTCCAATCAATCTAAGGCGGCTAG